CCCCCCAGTAAACCTAAGAAGAATTCATGATGGCCTTTTTCCTTTTGGTCCTTGTTTTTGCTTCAATCATCTTTACGGTTGTTGATGTGAATGATTTAAATCTACTTTTACAGCTCGTTCGAGACAAGATCCTTGAGCTGTTGAAGGCAGACAGGGAGAAAGACGTGTCCAGTTATGACGTCAACGCCATCCTTGTGGACCACTACTTGTGGGACGTCCGGCGGGAACTGGCCGATCAAATGATGGACATCCCGTTTCATCGCTGTCGAGGAATCTTCTACTGACGGGAGTCGTTTGTAGTGTTTGTTTGATGATTTGTTATACCATTGAAATTCAACATAGAATGCAAACTCCTCTGATTCATGATAATGATGTCTGTTACAGTTTGATGCTTACTTTTGTCTATCCCACCTAAAGTTTCCATTGGTCTGAGTTCATCTTCTATCCCTTCCTGTCCATGGCCAACAAGCAAGTGAAGTTTATTTAGTACTTCTTTTTGGACACATCTTCTGATCATCTTGTGTAGGTTTTGATCATGTTCTTGTTCTGTTTTTCCCAAAACGACAATCTCCTCTGCAATGCGTATGACATCTTAGCATCCATCAAAAGTTTGGTCAATCTTCTTCTGAAAAATATCTTAAATAACTTTACTCATTCTCAATCGGAATGGCACTCTTGGGAATCGGAATCTTTTTTCTGGCGAGTTGAATGTTGTGAGGTAACTTGACTCTTCGTCCAACTTCACATTCCAATAACCACATTTGGCATCCAAGATGGAAAAATACTGTGCACCTGATAGGCTTGGCAGAATTTCCTCCAGTGTGGTGTAATGTTCTCTCAGGATAGCTTTGTTCAAGCTTTTTGGGTGTAAACAAAGACGTAAACTTCCATTTGGTTTTGTTCTGTATACCAGACTATTGACCTATTAAGTAGGTTGACATTCTCGAATTTTCTCAATGATTCCATTTTCTCTCATTTCTTTGAACTCTTCCTTTATTTTGGCTTTGATCTGGATTGGCACTTCCCTTTGAGGGTGGATCACTGGTGGGACATCTTTGCTTGTGTGTACGCGATATTGGCCTTCAAACTTTCCTATGCCTCTGAAGGTCTCAGGGTATTTGCTGATCAGGTCTTCTTTGTTCCTGATATGTTCTGTCCTTGAGTTGCATTTCTGTTCAATGCGGTAGTTCAGACTGATCATGCCTAGAGCTTGCAGTGTCGGTAGTCCAAGAATTGCTGATTCCTTGTCTTCCGTGACGTAGAAGATTGTACATTCTGTGTTGTCTTTGTATGTGCATTCAGTGCTACAAGTTTCGAATTGCCTTATTTAGTGTCCACGGCATCAAGTCAGTTTGACTTCAGATAATATCAAATCTGTAGGTGCCCCATCTTTGTCGACTTTTGATGGAAACATCTTCCTGTACAGTCTTAGTGGCAAGGCGTTTCCTTGTGATCCAGTGTCTATCTTTGCCTTTAGAATTGCTTTACTCCACTCAGGTAACTTGACTTTAACTGTTGCAAAAGCTTCGTGTCAGATTTGTTCAGCTTTATTGTCTCCAATGCACAACTATACTGTTCTCCCATTGTGATTTCTTGTGTCTGGTTGTGTCTGAGTTTCCTGCATACTTTCTTGAAGTGGTGCAACTTCTTGCAATTATTGCATGTTTGGTTTCGAGCAGGACATTGAAGAAAAGGGTGAGGGGTGGTGCAAAATTACTTTGGCTGAATCTTTGAACTGGACCCGTACTTGGGTTTATGTTTTGCTGATGGGTTGTAGACTTTTGGTGATGGACTGGACTTTTTCCTCTGCAAAGTCTGGACTGACATTCTGTGTTGGCTATCTAGTCGTCCCATTTCTGATTTTGAGATTTTTTCAATCTTGCACATTTGCAGTGCTTAATCCAGTGTAAGTCTAGGCCCACTCTCTCGGAGTAACCGTTCTTTTCTTTCAAGGAGTTGTCTCTCAACCCCACAATAAGTTTTTCTCTTACTAGCTTGATTGTCTTTTAGCTTCCCATACTTGCAATTTTTACTTTAATTTCCTGAGTTTTGTGGCATGTTCTTCCGCACTTTCCCCCTCAGCTTGACTTGGTGCATTAAACTTGTACCTTTCTAAGGTGATGTTTGCTTTGGGAGTGCAGTAGTTGGTAAATCTTTCCAATAGTGGGGCCACTTTGTCTCTTTCCTCTTCTGGGATTTGCCATGTGTGGTAAATCTTCCTTCCTACCTCTGGTTTGAGGTAGAGGATAGTTAGACGTCCCACTTCTGACATCATATGTGGTAAATCTTCCTTCCTACCTCTGGTATGAGGTAGAGGATAGTTAGACATCCCACTTCTGACATCATATGTGGTAAATCTTCCTTCCTACCTCTGGTATGAGGTAGAGGATAGTTAGACATCCCACTTCTGACATCATATGTGGTAAATCTTCCTTCCTACCTCTGGTATGAGGTAGAGGATAGTTAGACATCCCACTTCTGACATCATATGTGGTAAATCTTCCTTCCTACCTCTGGTATGAGGTAAAGGATAGTTAGACATCCCACTTCTGACATCATATGTGGTAAATCTTCCTTCCTACCTCTGGTATGAGGTAGAGGATAGTTAGACGTCCCACTTCTGACATCATATGTGGTAAATCTTCCTTCCTACCTCTGGTATGAGGTAGAGGATAGTTAGACATCCCACTTCTGACATCATATGTGGTAAATCTTCCTTCCTACCTCTGGTATGAGGTAGAGGATAGTTAGACATCCCACTTCTGACATCATATGTGGTAAATCTTCCTTCCTACCTCTGGTATGAGGTAGAGGATAGTTAGACGTCCCACTTCTGACATCATATGTGGTAAATCTTCCTTCCTACCTCTGGTATGAGGTAGAGGATAGTTAGACGTCCCACTTCTGACAACATGTTATGATGCCTTGACTTCTAGATATTATATTAGAGGAGCACATGACGAGAACAAACGTTCAGCCGTATTGGGTTCATGGGAAAGGGACGTGTTTATTTCCGTATCGTACATCTTCTCTATATTCGAGTATAAGTATCGAACGTCATGACAATTTCCATGTGCGTCCCAGCTGGGTTGCGGGCTGCCTGTATGCTTTGTGTAGACTATTCAGTGTTGGGAAATGGTAAGCTAAATAGAAAGAATGTCTAGACTTTGGAGAGATCCGAAGGAAATATTATAAATGCCAGAAATTGCAAAACATTTTTTCCGTTGTTGTTCCCAGCAGAATTTTGGGTATTATGAAGGCCATTGGCCTTTAAGGCAAATTGTAAAGTGAAATCGTACTGTTCAAAATTTGTTATGGTTATTTATAAGAGTTGTTTTAAATTGAAAACATATTTACAACGAATTTTAATATTTTAGCATTTTAAAGTCTGATAGTTAACCAATCGTGCAGTGAACTTTTGGGAAAGTAAACAACTTGTGTTTCGCGCGCTCATATGACCTTACGCAGCTGCGAGCGCCGTAAAACCCTAAACTACTAACTAAAAAACTAAAAAAGAAAGAAGAGATAGAGGTAAAGCGAAACAGTAGGACCTCCAACTCCTACCCACAGTGCCCTCCGACTGTCTGTTACATCAGTCTGAAATCTTTTGACTTAAAAAGTATGGGAGAGTCAATAAAGGTTACTGAAAAACAGGAAACAAATTCTCGAGAATTATTGCTAATGATGCTGCCTGTAGGATTTAATCAGCATTTTCCACTTGGGAGGGAGGTACTGTGGAATCCACTTAAATTGATCATGGTTAATCTGAAAACAGCGATAAACCAAAATAAAATAGAATCCCCATTTTTTTCCCTTCTATTTTTGCAACCTCTCTAAATTGAAAACCTGGCCAATCCAAAGAAAATACAAAAGTCAGTGAAATGTTCTTCGTTGTGGTGAGGAAATTTGTGCTGTCCACAGAGATAAATTGAGAACAAGTTCTTTTGTCAAACAGTCAAATATTGTCAGTTATTATGTTATGATTTTATGTTACTGGTGGTCTGGCAGTTGTGGGTAAATGTATATTGTGTTGGTGTTACATGGATCTTGGACTGTATGTCTGTGTGTATATGTATGTGAGGCAGCGTGGTGGAATCAGGCACTCATCAATATAAGGGCATATGGAGCTATAATTGGTATCGTCTTAAAGCCTGTCCATTTGCCTTGCTTTTGATGAAAAACACTTCCATTTATCTTGGATACAAGTCAAGATATTGGCAATTGAAGGAGGTGGGGGTCACCTGGTTTCAGAGGTAAAATTATTGGGAAAATGGCGGCCAAAGTTGATTTACTTGAGAGTTTGGAAACTACAAATTTACATCATTTATGCCTTTAATCAACATTTTTCAGTAAAATCCACCCAGAAATGTGGTTTTTAATGCGCATGAAATTTGTTGAGCCCAAAAAACAAAAATTCTATAAAAATTCACAGACCTTTGGATAAATGCCAGTTTCTCCACTTTGATTATTTTGACGAGCGCCTGATTTCACACACTGCCTCACACATGTGTCTGTTGGTGTACTACAAACAGTTGACCAACCACGCTGCCTCACACATGTTTCTGTTGGTGTACTACAAACATTTGACCAACCACGCTGCCTCACACATGTTTCTGTTGGTGTACTACAAACATTTGACCAACCACGCTGCCTCACACATGTGTCTGTTGGTGTACTACAAACATTTGACCAACCACGCTGCCTCACACATGTTTCTGTTGGTGTACTACAAACATTTGACCGTAAGTCGATTGTTATGTGGTTGTGTAGGTGTAACTCAGTCATTTAACGGTAAATGAGCGGGTTCATTATATGTATATTATGTTTCTGTTGTTCTAGTATGGAAATTTGACTGTACGTCAGTGTGTACACGTGTGTAAGGTGATGAATTAGACTTGGTGATTGTCCAGATTCCTGTGGGTTGAGAGGCAAGAGTAGCAGCTAGGACCATCTTTATCAGTTTGTTATTTCTTAGCTAGGACTAACAGTGCCATAATATTATGTTTTGTTATCAAGTCAGGTTTGAGCAGTCGGTTTATTGTCTCAGCAGTCAAATTTTTGCTGCTCTTTATTGATTCAGGTACCAATAAATGCTTTTTTATAGAATAATGAGACTTAGTCTTTTTGTTTTACATTTGTGTGGTTTAAAAATTCTAGCTAGCCCAGAGGAAGGTGCTACCCTCTATTGTTAGTTCTTTGTTGCTGAAGTTTGATCACCTTATTCTTCTTCTTCTTCTATCCCGTGGTTGGGGCAACCGTTGGGGCACCACTGCATTGGAAAACCAGCTCTCGCCATCTATTTTTGTCCTCTGCTCTCCTCAGATTGTCACCCATCGTCTTTCCTGT